TTTCCCTCCTTCTTCCCTTCTCTCTCTCTCTTTCCCGCCTTCTTCTCTTCTCTTTTTCTCCTTTCCCTCATTCCCTCCTTCTTCCCTTCTCTCTTTCTTTCCCTCCTTCTTTCCTTCTCTTTCTTTCCCTCTTTCCTTCTCTCTTTTTATCCCCTCTTTCCTTCCTTCTTTTCTTCCTTCTTTCTTTTCCTCTTTCCTTCCTTCTTTCCTTCTCTTCACTTCTCTCTCTTTCCTTCCCTCTTTCCTCCTGTGACTCAACTCTAGTGAGAAGGGGTTTAAACTTTAATCCCCTTCTCTCTTTGCTCCCCCCCCCCTTAGACCAGCTGGGGAAGGGAAGGCTTTTGAAGAGGCCTCCCCCCCTTTTGCTTCCCCCTTCTGACATCACTTCCAGTGATGTCAGGGGGCATGGCATATGTTAATCGCCTAGTAGCTCATTAGCATACCATATGCTAATGAGCTCCTGCAGCTCTTTTTCTACGAAAAGACCCCTGATAGTAATCATAAAATCATAAAAACAATCACACATTAAAAGGTGCTAACCAATAACAGTCCAGATGTTATTAACAGTAGTAATTTACAAGATGACGTTCAGCTTCGATGCCTTTCTAGTGGTCAGTCCCGATCTCATATTGTGTGGCTGGCTCAGGGCTGCTTTGAGGATTCCAGGGGTCAGGGGTCCCCCCCCCCCCCCCAGGGCAGCTCCTAGTTGAAGGCCTGGCAGAACAGCTCCGTCTTGCAGGGCCTGTGGTAGTGCCCATTCAATGTTTTCAAACTTTGCAAAGTACCCAAAAAAGTTCAACAGTTTTGGAGATCCCTAGAGTAGGGGATTGTTGAGTTTGAAAGCAGGGGAAGCCGAAAAGTTGTTCATGTATGACCAATGTCCTGAATCACCCTCCTCACACAGAGTTTGTTTACACAGGGCAAGGATCCAAAGGTATTTAACCACACACTTTTGCCTAGTCCTTTTGTTCGGAACTTCATCCAGCTTTTCCTTTTTGGATTCCCAATGGTGATATTGTTTAAATAGTCATTTATTCTAAGGTGAAAGTGAGGGAAAGGAAACTTAATTCTCCAGGAGCACTTTTCCTCATTTGAGCTCTCTCATCAGTGCTGTATCTACTTTGGTAAAACACACACACATTTTAAAAAACAAAACAAAACTGACTGAAGGGGCTGAAGAAATGGGATAGGAGGAGGTCACAGGGCCACTGAGCTCTGAAGGCTCTGCAGAGTGTAGAGTCTCAAGGACAGGAGCCCCCCTTCTTTACCCATACATCTACCCAGGGCTCTAGTCGGGGGGGAGCTCTCAGGTACGGAGCTCCGGAAGAGAACCTCTAGGGGGCGGGGCGGTCACGTGGTGAAGCCCCGCCCCCTTCTTTACCCCGCCCTCTGCTTCGATCCTCATTCCGTTTGGGAATGAGGATGAAGCAGGAGGGTAAGTAGCCGGGCCTTCTGACACACTTCCGGTGATGTCAGGGGGTGTGGCCTTCTGTCACTTCCGGTGATGTCAGGGGGCGTGGCATATGCAAATAAGTTATGCTAATGAGTTATGCTAATGAGCTCCGGCAGCTCTTTTTCTACAACAAGACCCCTGCATCTACCTCACATGAAAGGCTGCAGTTCTAAGCATACTTACTTGGGATTAAGCACATTAAATTCAATGAGACTTAACTGAGGTTACTTTTGGAAGGGTTGCGACTCAGGAATAAAGCACACGTTATGGATGCAGAAAGTCTGAGGTTCAAATGGTGGCATCTCCAGTTTTCGGTGTCAGAAAAGACTTTCCTACCTGAGGACCTAAAGAGCCACCGCCAGTCAGAGTATACTATACTGAGCTAGGTGGCTGTCTGGTTGGACCCAGTATAAGACAACTTCATAGGACTTCTGAGCAAAGATGTTGCCTTCACAAATTAGCTCTTGCGATCTCAATTAGATCACAAGGAAAGGAACCTACATGATACTCTGATTCTGAAGTGCATCTCTGAGGGGAGACAATTTCTGTACCTAAAGGTAGTTGCAGACGGTTCCAAATAGAAGTAACAACAAACTGCATGCCCCCACAGATTAACCTTTATGACCCACTCTGAAGTAGGACACAAAGAAAGCAATGCATATATGCCTGTACAATTCATGGTATAGTACAAATTCCGGTGGGATATCCATGTTAGTTTGTTGCAGCAAAAACAAACAAGGTGCATTCCTCCAGTTGGAACAGAGATGAATGATTTTCACTCACAACAGATGTTGCTGACCCAGCCTGAAAAGAAGCCAAAGTGGGCTGCATAGAGAATTGCCCTCTATCCACTGGCACCTCATATATTCTTCCCAGTGTGCCCAAGGCACTGTGCATCAGTGAATCGTGGGAAATATAATTCCAGGATGCAACATCATTAGTGTCAAGCACTCTAAGACAGCATTTCTCTGGGTGCACCAAGGCAGAACAGCTCAGAAGCAACAGAAATAAGATCCAAGGCTCCAGGGAAGGCTGTGGGTATTTGGGGGGGGGGGGGAGAAGTTCTCTGCCTGGCCCAGGCCTGCCAGCTCTCAGAGTAAGTGCAGGGAGGGATAAAGTCTGCATACCTGTTACAATATTTCCTCTTAGTCTGATTTTCCATTGACTCTAAACTCAATAGTGAGGTGCCAAAATAAAAGATCAGAATATTAGTTAAGATTATCAAATGTCATTTTCTAAATTTGGTTTTGTAATAACATTACCTTTTCATTTATTATTTATTTTTAAATTTTATTTAAAACATTTTGATGCTGCCTTTCCACCCAATGTAGGGTCCCAAAGGCAGTGTGTGTGTGTGCGTGTGTGCACGCACACAGACACACACACAAATAAAAACAATTCAACAAAATTTAAAATTATGAACATGTTCATATGTAAATAGGAATTTCGTCATTTAATGTTGCATTTGCATTTATGTATTTATACCCCATTTTTCTCTCCTGCTGGGATTCAAAGTGGCTTAGAACATCACTGTCTCCCCTCCATTTTCTCACAGCAACAACCCTGTGAGGTAGGCCAGGCTGAGAGTTTGTGACGGGCCCAAGGTCATCCAGTCAGCTTCCATGGTAGAAGCTGGGATTCGAACCCAGGTCGCCCAAGGCCCTAAGTCCGCCCCTCTACCCACTATACCACACTGGCTGTCAGTGTGGTCTGATACCCGAACTTATATCGCTAAATGTGATCACTTGCTAATTCTTGCAGATAAAATTGTTAACTAATAGTCAAAAGAACCAGTTGAAAAGGTGGCAACTCCATAGCTGATAGAGACCACTGATAAAGCTGATAAAAGAGGCAGCTGCCTGCCTGGGAAGTCTCAAAGTGGTGGAAAGTGAATCTGAATAAAGAAAGATTTTATCCAATAATAATAATAATTGTTATTGTATGGCGTTGTGTGTAGTGTAGCCTAAGATTGTCTGGCAGCCTGAAGTTCTAGCTCTTTTAGTGGTGAGCTAGACTTATTTTGGGGGGCTGAGAGAGCTCTGAAAGAGCTGTGACTGACCCAAGGTCACCCAGCTGGCTTCATGTGGAGGAGTGCGGAATCAAACCCGGTTTCGATGAATTAGTAGTGCTGAGAGAAAAGGAATGAATCGATAGTGTTCACAGAGAAGCATTTGCAGCTAACTTTTCAACTGTCCTCTTTCGCTGTGCCTGTAATCGCTATTTGACCTGCAGAAACTAACAGATGATATTTTATTTTCATGCCTGCTAGTTGCTGCATATGAAGTTTCTGTTAAAGGCACAAGAGAAAGCTAGGTGGCTTTCTGGCCATGAGGAACTCTGACTATAAGCCTGCAAGTGCGTATGAACATCAGAAGCTGAACCAGACCATCTGTTCATCACGAACAGTATTGTTTCCCCCGACTGGCAGCAGGTCTCCAGAGCCTCGTGCAGAGGACTTTCATATCACCTCCTACCTGGTCCTTTCAGCTGAAGATGCCAGAGATTGAACCTGGGACCTTCTGCGTTCAAAGCAGATGCTTTACCACCAAGTCACAGCCAAGACTATTGCAGAGACATAAGTTTCCTCTTGAAAGGAAACTGAACCTGTGAAAGATGTGGTATATTTTTCACCACTTACAGAAAACAGAGCATGAAAAAGTGGTGTGAGATTTCTGTAAACTCAGACCTATAGGACTGGTTCAGACCATAACTGGAGCCAGAACAAGAAATGTGAAGGTCTTTCACCTTGGAAAATGTTGGACCTCAAGTTGTAACCTAGTTCATAATAATCAGCATAAGGTGACGTCGCCATCGGGTTCTCTAGTGGCTTAAATGTCCAGTCACTGAGTCTCTTCTGCCCTTGAATCAGTCCAGCCTCGCAGAGAGTCCGGCGAGCCTAGAAAACACAAATGCAATCAGGTCAAAGCCTATCCCAGGTCCTTACGGGCTCGATGCCTCCTAGAGGTACTTGTGACTTTTAGGGCACCTTCTGTAACTGAGTGTAACCCTGGTGGGAACAGGCTAGCCCAGTCTCATCAGATCTCAGAAACTAAGCAGGACTGGCCCTGGTTAGTACTTGGGTGGGAGACCACCAAGGAGGTCCAGGGTGCCTGTGCAGAGGCGGGCAATGGCAAACCACCTCTGCTCATCACAGGCCTTGTAAACCCTAAGCTGGCTGTGTGACTTGATGGCACTTTCCACCACCATGGTGGGATCCAAGGTCAGCACGCTTTCAGAAATGTCGTGCATCATTCATATGCTTGGTTTGCGTTGTAGATTTATTACGTTTCTACCTCGCCTTCTTTGTTTCCAAGGAGAAACATAGGGCTTTGCCTAAGAAATATTGCATATATATGACTGGAAGCAGGCCCACTGATGGGGCCTTGCAAGTATCCCACTCCAGGAGAGCCAGTAGGCCGCCTCGGCACACGTGCTGAACAGCAGCACACCAGGTTATTTTTCTCCACACAGCAGGTCCCTTGCTCCACCCCAAAAGCAGGGCTGTAGTTCAATGCTCCAGTCTCAGCTGGGAGGTGGAAGGGCAGCACAGAAGCCAGCAAGATTCAGAGGCTGGGTCCGCAGAGCAGCCAGCAATCATTTAAAACCAAAGTTTGGAGAGTGGTCATTTTGAGAGTGAAACGTAGAGTGTGAAGGCTCCACCTGGTGCCCTCCTGTCCCACCAGGACCCTGCACCTGCTCATGATTCATTCAGAACCAGACATTGCCTGGGAGCAACTACACGGCGGCTCAGGGGATCTGTCTGATCCCGCTGCTGCATGTCTCTTTTGGTGCGGCTCTAAAAAGCCGCACTTTGGCCGCGTCAATTTTCCCCGTGTGACCGGGGCCAAAGATTGCCTAACCCTGTAGCTGCTAATGGAGGGATGGGTATCATAGAACCACAGAATCATAGAGTTGGAAGGTACCTCCAGGGTCATCTAGTCCAACCCCCTGCACAATGCAGGAAATTCACAAATACCTCCCCCTCCACATCTGCAGTGACCACTGTTCCACACGCAGAAGATGACAAAAAACTTCCAGGACTGCTTCCTGACCCCAAAGTGGCAATCAGCCTTTCCCCTGGGTGTGTAAGAAAGGGCAAGAACTAAGCACTGAGGCAACCTTTCCTGCCCTCCCTCTCATGACCTGCCTAAGTTCACAGAATCCGCATTGCTGTCAGATGGCCACCTAGCCTCTGTTTGAAAACCTCCAAAGAAGGAGAGCCCACCACCTCCTGAGGAAGCCTGTTCCACTGAGGAACCACTCTGTTAGGAAGCTCTTCCTTATGTTTAGCTGAAAACTCTTCTGATTTAATTTCAACCCGTTAGTTCTGGTCTGACCTTCTGGGGCAACAGAAAATAACTCCACACCATCCACTAGATGACAGCCAAGTACTTGAATATGGTTATCATAGTGGCTTCTCTCCTTCTCTTTTGGCTAAGCTGCCCAATGTCTGGTCTCTGGTGGAGCCATTTATTCCTCCTGAAATGAAACCACACTGCACAACCACAGATCGCACATAACTGATGGGCTTCAGGTGATGTTTTTGCTGCTTTGATATGTTCTGTGTGGACACAGACCAATCAACACTGAGAAGGTCATATCCCTTTAATAACAGCAGAAATGCAAAATGTGGAAATGTTTCTAGGCTATAATGATGATTAGGTAATAGTGTCCTATTTTGCAGCTCCTTAGTTAATTTTAAAAATAAACATGATTATACCATGGTTACAATAAGCTCCTTAATGCCCCATGTATTTTGTCCTGTGGATGCATTTTGCAGTGAGGGCTGCCCCTTTTAATCTGGCCAGTGAGGGCCAGTTCAGGCTCAAGCTATTTATATTCTTGAAAAAGGAGAATTATTTTCTTCACCTGCTCCTCAGAGACCAGTTTTTCCACCACAGATGTGCCATGCTTGGCCTTGATATTGTTGGGTATTAGACTGCTTTTCTTCTCCTGAAAGGGCTTTCCTTCTGCTTTAACATCATGCCCACTTGATGACAGTGATTCCTTGGCACTTGAAACATCCTGGGCATCTTTCATGTCTTCACGGCTCCCCTTCCCCGTCTTCCGAGGCGATCCCAGTAATCGGGTCCCTACTGGTCGATACTGCCTGCCCATGAGTTCATCGGTGTAGCTGTCTTCCATCTCTTCTTGGCTGGACTTGGCTGACTGTCGGGGATTTCCAGACCTCCCTTTTTGGTGATTCCCTATTCCCTTGGAAGCTGCATTAGATAGACTTTCCTTTCTGCTCGCAGATATTTTGGGTGATCCAGCATGAATGCATAATGCAGAGGGAGTTTTGGACTTCAGGGTATGTTTGCTGGGGTTTCTAGTTTGAAAATGCTGCATGGAAGGCGATGGCTGAGGCATAGCGAGGGGAGCCCCCACCGGTGTTCTGTTCTCTGTTGGGCTCATGGGGCTCTTGCATGAAGTCCTGCTGGAGTTCCTCGAGGGGAGTCTTTCGTTCTTGGCCCATTCCCCAGCCATGTTATATGTGACCTGCTCCTTGTTTCCATATCCAGGCACTACTGGAAGACAAAATAAAGCATGCAGTCACATGCTGCCTTAGTCTGTGTTTATCAGAAACAGCATAAGATTGTATTTATCTATTGACATTATTCATAGTCCGCCTTTCTCACTGAAACTCAAGGTGGATTACACAGTGTAAGTCAATGCAGTCAGTCGGATGGGAAATCCAATAAGCAATATAATAGAATTAGGATGCCAACATTAAAACCAAGTAAGCATCTGGAACAAAGCTGAAACAAAACATAAGTATTAACATGGCACAATAAGGATGTAGGAATATTGCATAAGAGGATAATACAGACAGTACTTACAACACACAGCAGTATAGTTCACACAACTTTCCCTTTATTAAAGCATTTATTTGTTTATTAGATCTTTTTTATTCCACCCTCCCCAAAGTGAGCTCAGGGTGGATCATAAAGAAACCGAGTCCAAGACTTGTTGCAACAAAACCACATTAAATTCATTAAAACAATAAACAATAAAATTCACACAGATAGCGACAGTTTCATCTACATCTGTTAGGACCACAGAATCCTTTCTGATTTCAGTCTCTTTAGTACCTTTGTAAAAATGCCCTTTTGGGTTATTTAGTTTTGCATAGTGTGTGAAATGCCAGGGGAGTGGGAGTCTTCCTGACCTCCTCGGGCAGGCCATTCCAAAAGGTGAGGGGGGCATAAGAGAGAACACATATATGTGGGCAGTTGTCAATGTTGCCCGTTTGCAGGGTGGCACGCTATCAGGGCAGATCATAGGGGGAGAGGCAATCCTGCAGATATGAGGGACCAAGGCCATGAAGGGCTTTGTATGATAGCTGATACCTCAGATTGAACCTGGTAACTGATGGGCAGCCAGTGGAGTGACTGCAGAATGGGACTAAAATGTATACTCTCAAGAGCTCCTAATGATAACCAAACTGTGGCATTCTGCACCAACTGATGTCTCTGGGTAGTCTTTGAGGAGAGACCTATGTACAGCGCATTACAGTAGTCTACGCTCAGTGTTACCATGGCACGGATCAGGTGGACAAATTGGCCAAGTCAAGGTAGGGGGTCCCCTATCAGGATAAACTAAGGCCTATTATGAATGGGTGTTTCCCCTTGCTTTCACCGTGCATGTCTGTCGGGTTTTCTTTGTCGTTCTGCACTCAGTTTGCTTTAGGGTTGCCAGCTCTGGGTTGGGAAATACCTGGAGATTTAGGGGCGGAAGCCTGAGAACGGTGGGGTTTGTGGAGGGAAGGGACCTCAGAGAAGTATAATGCCATAGAGTCCACCTCCAAAGCTGCTGTCTTCCCCAGGGCAACTGATCTCTGTCATCTGGAGATGAGTTGTGATTCCAGTGCCTCTATACGTAGTAAAATTTTGTAGGCACTCAATATAGGGTAATTTTTAATGGAATTCTATCTTTTGCAGAATCTGATTTTTTTAATTTCTCAGATATTATGTTTTTACTCTTGTGAAATGCCATTAAAGGAATTGTTTGTGATGTGACAAAGGGTCACTATTGCCACTTAGTGAATTATTAGCTCAGGATCAGAGAATGAACTTCTACCCTGTCAAGCAACAAAGATCATAGGAAAGGAGGAGTTGAAATGAGACTACAGAAGCTGTTTCAGCTTGTGCTGCCTCCCTGTCATGATGTAGGTGTAGACTGTGACTGTGTATGAGTGTGTCAGGGAGTCCACATTGGCCTTCACAAGGAAGAAAATTCTGGAGAAATTAGATACCATCCCCCTTTCTCCCCATTAGAGTTCTAACCTGTTGCTTCATCGGCCATTCTGGTCTCATGATGTGTGCTGGCAGGAAATGGGAAGGCCGAATCCATGGGCACCTGCTATAAAGAGAAACAAAGTTCAGATTACCTTAAACTTTTTGAAGCAGGAACCCCTTGTAAATTTACTTTTTGGGAACCACTTGCCAAGTAACTCTGTCCCACTTTCTCCTGCATAAAGTGCAGGAATCTCACATCAGTTAACACGGAACGTGGTACCTTTTTCATCTTTGGTATTTATAAATATATAACACTAGGAGTAATGCCCGTTGTGGGAAGAAATACAAGATCTAGAAGGAAGCTCCAGATGAGTGTCCTGACTGTGGCTGGTGGGGCGGCAGAGGGAAGTGGAAAATGGAGGGAGGCAAGCCATGCTTCTTTCCTTCTGCTTAGCTATAAGGCAGGGTTGTCTCAAGTCATTTTGCTGCCCCAAGTGGGTAGAATGGGAGGACAGCCTCATGGTAACAGATATGGTTCTCTCCACCTCTGACTTATTTTTTGAGGGGGAGGGGGGTGTTATGCAGTGGCAGATAAGGCAGAAAAGCACCTCCTCCTGTGCCATGTTTTCTGGGTTCCAAGGGTCTGGAAAGTAGTTCCATAGCTGATTTCACAGTTGCCAACTCTGGGTTGGGAAATACCTGTAGATTTGAGGAGTAGAACCTGGGGAGGGCAGGATTTGGGGTGGGGAGGGACCTCAGTAGGGTATAATGCCATAGAATCCACTGCCCAAAGCAGCCATTGTCTCCAGGAGAACTGATCTTGGTGATCTGGACATCAGTTTTAATAGCTGGAGATCTCCAGGTGCCGCCTGGAGGTTGGCTTATGTTAATTTGGGGCTATGCAGTCACAGCTAAGGTAGAAAAGCACCTCCTCCTGTGCCACGTTTTCTGGGTTCCAAGGGTCTGGAAAGTGGTTCCATAGCTAATTACACGGTTGCCAACTCTGGGTTGGGAAATACCTGTAGATTTGAGGGGTAGAGCCTGGGGAGGGCAGGATTTGGGGTGGGGAGGGACCTCAGTAGGGTATAATGCCATAGAATCTACTGCCCAAAGCAGCCATTGTCTCCAAGAGAACTGATCTGGGTCATCTGGACATCAGTTTTAATAGCTGAAGCCCTGACTACTATGTCACATTGGCTGTCATAAAGAGGCCATCTCAGCAGGATATAAGGACACAGAGTCCACCATTTTCTCCAGGGGAACTGATCTCTGCCATCTGGAAAGCAGTTGTAATTCTGAGTGATCTTCAGCCCTCACCTGGAGATTTGCAACCATGGTTTCCCCCAACACACACTAAGTGGAAATTTATTTTACCTCAGAACATCAACAGCAAACTGTTTAGAATGTTAGAGGGAAAGGCCAGTGAGGCCGCATATGCAAACGACCTCTGTGTTCCGAGGTGAAGGCGAATCAGGCCACATATGCAAATGACCTCTGTGTTCTGACTGGCTGTGGGGGGAGAGGAACTGCAAATTGTTTACAATGTTGGAGGCAGGACTCAGGCAAAGCAGCCAGTGGATAGGGAGACCCTCTGAATGACAGATCAGAGAGCGAACTGATTTTGGAGCGTGTTGGAATGTTCAGGGGAGTCCATGACCAAAATAGAATTATATATACTGGAGGATTTGTGAGCAACAGGCCATTTCACACACACAGAGGCCACCCCAAGTTTGCCCCTGAGCCTCCCACCGAGACTCTACTCCCCTAGATCCCTTCTGGACTCACGACACACCTGTGAGTTGTGACCCTTAGTGTGAGAACCACTGCATTCTCTCAGCACTTGCAACAGCCTGTAATGTTCACTTCCCCCAACAGCACAAGTGGAAAGCTGAGAGAGAAAACTGAACTTTCGAACCAGCATCACCATTCACCAAACTTACTGCTCACTCTCTTAATCATACCAGATCTTCTGTAGACATTGCCATATTTAAACTTTATTTTAAACAAAATTGTGAGAGTTACATCCAATATGTGTATAAATTATTTCAGGACTTAAATATATTGCCTCTGGTTATAATGTTATCTTACAAAAGCTCCTGTTTCTATTCTGAAAAATTGATGGTGTTGTTTTGATTCTGAAAATGGATACTGCAGCCAGTCTCTGTAGCTGTACTTTGACCTCGATCCCCAGTTTGAACTCCAGCAACTGGCAGATGATAATGTTTATCTCCAAGTAGTGAAAAGGTTTCACTTGCTATTTCCAGATTCAGCTACAGAGACTGGGGGACAACAGGATGGCATAAGGATGCCAGTCTTCAGATGGGGCCTGGGGATCTCCTGGAATTATGACTCATTTCCAGACTACAGAGATCAGCTCCCCTGGAGAAAATGGATGCTTTGGAGGGTGGTCTCTATGGCAGTGTGCCCCACTGAGGTTCTTGTCCTTCCCCAGGCTCCATCCCCAAATCTCCAGGAGTTTCCCAACCTGGATCTGGCAATCCTACCCCCTCCCCCACCAGTGGCCGGGGTGGTGGTGGCAACCCTAGGCTGGCAAGCCAAAAAGGAACTCCCTGAACAGATTTCAGACACACACCCTGAATGACTTGCTACATTTAACAACAAAACCCCCCTCTTAATTATTTCTGCCATGGATATAATTTTTTTAAGCTTTCTCATTTCTTTTCCTCTAAGCTTAACTGAGGAAGAATAAGCAGAGACCAAATTAACACGCATACCAAATGAAAGCAATGACTAAGCACTCCATAGGGGGAAATAAAATACTTCCCATCAGAGTTGGATAAAAATGAGACCATAGCCCTTTCCAGTTGTCACATTTGGGAGTATTCAGCCTTGCATACCAAGAAGAAATGCTACCCAGAGTACTTCTGATTTATGTGGCTGCCATTT